TTGCTCTCCCACTCTCTCACTTGCTCTCCTACTCTCTCACTCACTCGATCTCCCACTCTCACTCACTCACACAATTTTAATTTGTTAAAACGCATGAAAAAACACCCAAAATAAATTCCCTTCCAAAAGCTTGGTCTCTCTGTAAGCTGAATCACGCAAAAATCAGATTTTCTTCTCATCTGAATTTTTTTTATTATTATTTACCATAATTTCCGAACTATAAGCCGCTACTTTTTCCACAGGCTTTGACCCCTGCAGCTTATACAATGCTGTGGTTAATTTATGGATTTTTGTATTTTGGCAGGCTAACGAGCTTCCTGCCGTCAAAACATTTAGCCTCGTCACACCCTGACGCTCACATAGCTGCCCAATACACGTCACTCCTGGGGGGTGGGTCCTGGTGACTCAATGAGACTACCTGTATAAATAAAGGTTAAAAAAATCTGACCTATGAAAGTACCAAACAGGTCACAGTGGACCAATGAAACGAGGAGAGAACAAGAAGGGGCAACTTGTGTCCCTCCCTGGGGACACAACAAATTATTCGCAGCCACTCAAAATCAGTGTGAATCGTGCATTAACGTGACACTCGAAGTTCAGTGGGAGGCCTGGACGACTGGTGGCGAGAAATCGTTTACCAAAACTGGCAGCATGCAAAGAGCAACTTCTGCTCCAGTCTGCCCGTGGATCCTGACAGAGGAGCAGTTTTTAAAATATCCTCTGCAGGAGGAAGATGAAGATAGTGATCAATGACTTCCTGGTAGGCTACTGTATTTTTTTTTTTAAGAAGCCGTGTTACCGGCACTGTTCAGAAAAAAACATTTACTGTACGTATTTGTGTATGTTACTGATACTGATTTAATCAAAAGTTTAAAAAATCTTACTGTGTAAATTTCTCACATTACAACATGGACACCCACGGCTTATACACAAGTGCAGCCTATTTACAAAATTATTATTATTGTTTAAATTTAGTGGGTGTGGCTTATATTTGGGTGCACTCAATAGTCCAGAAATTACAGTATTTATGTTGCTGCATATGGCGGGATGGAGGTGGGGGCTGTGGTAGCTCTGTGGTAATCCTGAGGTCGCAGGTTCAAGCCCAGGTTGCATCAGGAACAAACAAATTATCAAATCTTCCACTTGAGTTCATTTGCTGTGGCAACCCCTGCAGAAGAGAGGAAGCCAAAGGATCTTAACACATGGAGGAGTGGACTGGAAAATTTAATTAGGTTGCAGCATCAAGCCTTATACTGTATTGCCAGTTGGTTACCAGTTTGGTAACAGTAGCACCTAAATTAATTATTCTGGACATAGTTTTATGAGAGTATGTCCATGCATATTTTAAAGTGTCAATATGGAGTGCAACTTGTCCACAAAACTGGACACCAAAATCATAAATCTGTAACCCCTGAAAGCTTCAACACTGTCAGTGAGGGCTCTAACGAAAAGTAAAAACTACAGGAATCATTCTGCATCCAGATGTACTGTCTGCACAATTAAAATACAGTAATTTATGAATAAACCATAAGGAGGCACACAGCAATTAGCACCTAAACACACACCACACGCAGCTGAAAACACTACAGAGAATTATTTCCTTACTTTTCTAAAAGTATTTGATGCTAAACTATATTTAAACAAGCAGCAGCAGTTTATAAAAGGTTTTTACTTTCTTTTCAAGTACAATATGTTCTGCTATATTCATAAACCATCTTGCTCGAGACGCTCCCAGACACATACCAGTACTTGCTTTTTTAAAAAAAATCAATTTCCTCATCAGAACAATCCCTCTTCCTCCTCTTAAACCACTCATCCACCTCATAAGAGCTATATTTTCTCTTTACAGTACACTTTGCCATCCTGAAATGAAAATAAACAGCAAAACAAAGTATTTTCACCTTCAAAAAAAGGAGTGTGCACGCTGGTGCAGGCTAAAGATTAATTTCATAATTTGTTTCCTACTTCCATCTTAGATTTTGCCAGTGAACAGTTTAAACAGATCATAGAAATGTCATCAACTTTAGCAACACTTGAGTACTCCCACTGAGTTGTGGTCAGTAAAAACAAACCCTAACGTCCCTGGAGTCTATCAGCTCATCTGTAAATGACATTTTCTAGTTATGTATGGACACCTACATGTGCATCTTTGCAAGATTTTCAAAATCAAAGTTGATAAAAACACACCGACACTGATGGTCAAACATTTTAATGTATAGCAACAAAACACAAAATTAAAATTATAAGTACTTTAATAAGTAAACCTTTTTCTTGCCTGGTTTGCATTTTTTTTTTTAAATAACCACAAAAAAACACATTGCACTGAATATCTTGAGTAAATTCTGTAATGCACGAGTCTTTCATCTCGTCTCTCCTCTGTTGCAGGCACGTGATTTTTGCTCCCAGCAGTCATAACAAGTATGCAGGCGAGTCTTTTCCTGGGATTTACGATGCACTGTTTGACATTGAGAACGCAGCTGACCCACAGACATCCTGGCAGGAAGTCAAGAGACAAATCAGCATCGCAGCATTTACAGTGCACGCCGCTGCCATGACTCTGACACCGCCTGCATGTAACAAACTGAAGTCTCTGAATGACATTTGATTATTCTTTTATTCTTTTGTGCTGGGGAGATGTTAACTCACCAACAAACCTGTATATATTGACTGAAGAATTTCTTAGTACTACAGAAACGCCTTTTTTTCTGCTATGGTTCTGTGTTTTCAGTCATGAAGCATGGTATTATCAATTCACTTTTTCCTTTTAAACAGACTTTTGAAGAAGAAAAAAAACCCGGTTGTTAACAAGTGACAGAAGTTAACATAATTTGGCTCACCACGTGGAAAAAAAGTGAAAACGCATTAATGGAATGACAACCGCCAAATATCTTTTCAATGTTCTGTATTGACAGATGTCTTTAACTCCTTTCTAGTTAAGGTGAGTTTATGTTTGGTCGTAAATGTCTGCCATTGTATTTCAGGATTTAGTGATCCTAAACTTAACCCTCTAGGACTAGTTTAGTGGTCAGACTCAGCCAGGAGAGCCAAATTCAAAGCCCTACTGCAGTAACATTGCTTAATTCTTCTGAAAGGTACAGTATGTTTCAGGTGTCAAGTTATTTTGTTGTTGTTTTTTTGTTCATAGAATAAAATGACAGAATAAACATGAGTCACAGAAAACTGGACAGTTCTGATTACATTAAATTGTCCCTAGGTGTGGGTGGGTGTGTGAAGTTTTTTCTCATTTGTCTGTACGTCCCTGATGCACCCCACCTCTCACACAGCTGAGTGCTGGACGTGGACACCAGCTCCAACATGACCTGGAAAGGAGCAAGCAGGAAAATGGATGGATGAAACTTTTTCAGTTTTCCATAAAAGCCTCATAAAAAAAAAAAGAGTCAGGCCTCAAGTTATTAATACCACAGGAGGGCGCTAAAGTCCTCAACTTTACTCAGATAGCTAGTATCTTTTTTTTTTTTTACATTTTTTAATGCATTTTTTTGGTTTCAAACAACAAACAAAACAGAACACATAGAACCGCGCCACCCCTTCCCTCCCATGTCAGATCAGTCAAACATACTGACATACATTCCACATACAACACAAAGGGCCGCCAAGTGTCCCAAAATCTTTTAACAGAACCTCTCAGGGATTACCTCATTTTTTCCAAATGGAGGTGGTACATCACCTCCATCACCCAGTGCACATGCTGTGGGATGTGGGTCCTTCCATTTGCACAAAATTAGCCCCCTGGCCAGAAGAGAGCCAAAAACAATCACATCCTCCTCGTATCTGCTGAAGGACATGTCCACAGTGACCACTCCAAACGATGAAATGAGTGGTGATGGGTGTACAGTCCTGCCACACACTCCAGAGAAGGTGTCAAAAGTAGATTGCCAAAAGGTCTGCAGCTTGGGACAGGTCCAGAATGAATGCAGGTGTGTAGCTGGAGTTTGTCTGCAATGGTTGCATGCTGGGTCCAGATCGGTCTTAATTTTGGACAGTTTGTCTATGGACCAGTGCAGCCTGTGCACTACCTTGAATTGGATTTAGGGTTGGGCATCGTTTGAATTTGAGCAATTCCCGGTTCCGATTCTTCGTTTCGATCCCAGTTCCTTTCAATGCCAATTCTTTTTAGAGGCAGGGTAAAAAAAAAGACATGTCAATTCAATTCAGTTTATTTATACTGTATAGCGCCATGTCACAACAAAATATGTCTCAGGGCACTGAACAGAAACAATCAAATATAAAAATAATAAGTTAACAGAAACTTTCATATAAAATAATAAGTTAACATCTGAGGAGCAGACTGCTTTGAATTGAACTCCATCATGTTCTAAATGAGCTACAGTAGTTAGCCAGAGTTCTTTCTGGATGAAATCATTTGAACTTCTATTTGAATTTTAATTATATGAACTTTTTACTTTTTATTAACTTTACTATGAATTTCTCACAGGGCTATTTTCAACCAGTATATAAATATCAAACTTATGAACCTCAATATGTTGTGAGTTTTCTTTTCACAGGGGTACAATTTCACAAGAGAGCTTTATGTGTGAAAACCTCATGGAAACACATTTCCACATGTCCAGTGTGTGATGCTGTAGCCAGAGCTCCCACTGATGGGCTAACCTGCTGCAGAATATCAAACAGAATTATAATAAAAAGAAGAACTTGTACAACCCAGTCAAGATTAGCAGCAGGTACAGTATAAAATCAGAAACTGATCTTGTTGAGGAAAATGATCATATGTGCTTCTCAGGCAGTATGTGTGAGTGTTCTGGACAGATAGTGTCTCCTGCAGTGGAGAACATGTTTGCTGGGTGTAGAAGAAGCTGAACACATAAATATGAGAATGTGAGATCTGACAGCAAAGGATAAGTCTTGTGTTGGTTCCACCAGCAGCAGCAGGTCCTCAGACAGAACAGCTGGTGGAATGTCCTGGTACATCTGCAGCCCTCTCTCCACTTGTTTCTTCATGGACATGGAGCTGTGAAATTATGTTCTGTGCCTCTTCCTCAGCAAAAAGCTCCTCCAGTGAAGACTTTCTAGACAGAATGCAGGGAGGCGGCTCCTAATCAAACAACAGGTTCATCAGTATAATCACTAAAAAGGGATTATTAAAGGCATGATCATTATTAAGATTGAGAATCTATATAATTTCATCTATCATACACTTACACTCTCCTCCTCATCCTCCACTCCCTCATTCTCGGGCCTTTCCTCCGACTGCATGGTGACCCCATCATCTCCACAGTCTTCCTCTGTTGACCACAAAGAACATTACTAGTATTTAGATTTCAGCTTTTAATAGCAGAAAAGGACAGATGTGCATGAATGACATTTCACCTGCTCAGTCATCTTTCTCTAGATCTGCTCCCAGACACTGTCATCCATCTTCTGTTTAAAGCACAGAGCAGCTATGTAGGTACAGTGAACTTCTCCACCTTATACCAAGATGGGATTAACTTATTTAACAAGTGGTCCATGGTAGGTGGTGTGTAGTTGGGTTGATGGTTTTCACCATGTCCCTGCAAACATATAAACAAACATGTAATGTCACTGTAACGTTAGCTTAGGATGGACAATTACTTATCTCTATTGTTATTGCCTAACTAACCTAAATGTTGGCGATTCCACATCTGAAAAGTGATGCAACTTTTTCACTATATGCTGTAACCGTTCTGCGGCACTCTTCATTCAGTTGCACTGACGTATTTCCCTTGGACGCTATGGTGAACGGAGGAGCACATCGTGGAGTCTGGTGAACATTATTAACCATTTCAGGTTGTTTGTATATGAAAAAATACATGAGCTAACATTAGCATGGTGTTTGTATTTGAGTTGACCTATCACTTTAAGTTGAGTATAACTTGTTACTGTAGCTGCCTTAATGTTGGTATGAGATGTAGTTTATAGTTTTATTTACCTGATTCTGAGGGTCGGACCTGGAGAAGGAGGCAGCGAAAATAGTCCGGGCCACTCCGTTACTTCTACACCCTCCTTTGCACAATATAAAATTATTGCAAGTGCTGCACTAAGCTGACAGGTCATTTTATTAAAGTTAAGCCATGCTTTCAATCACGACCACTCACTCTTCATGTATGCCAACACTTTTGGTGTATTCGTCTTCGTTGGTACCAGTGGGTGGCTTCCTCTTCATTGGTGTTTGGCGGGAGGCTTCTACTTCTGGTTGGCGGACTAAGCATCGAAAGTAGGAATTGAAAATAAATCATTCGAACGATTCTGGGAAAACCTGACAGTTAGTACCGGTTCCAGTCGATTATTGATGCCTAACCCTTATTACAGCATGTCTTAGGCAGATTGAAGATGAGTAAATGTTCTTAATGATTCTTCCCCAGACTGAGTCTGATATGGGTTCTGCCAAGTCCACTTCCCATTTCAGTTTGAGGGAGTCCAGGCTGAACTCATGGTATAAACTGAGCAGAGTACAAATTTTGCTGAGTCCCTTTAGAACCACTCTAAATCTTAGCCGCAAAAAGCTTAGAGGGGTACAAAGGAAAACAGTCAGAGTTAGAGCTCACAAAATGTCTCAGCTGCAGATATTTTAAAAATTGTGACTTGTGAATAATAAACTTCTGCACCAGCTGTGCAAAAGAGTCCAATCTACCATCAATATAGAGATCACACAGTGAATGCACTCTCCTCAAGACCCAGGTGTCAAAAGCTGTATCAGCTTACCGAGGGTGCGAACATATGGTTATTTGACACAGGTGCCAAAAATAAAAACTCTGTGAGTTAAATGCCCTCCTGAACTGATTTTAAATCTTAACCGCCCAAATCAAAATTGGTTGATATTGATTGTTTAAAGGGCAGCCGGGAGCAGAGTAACGCAGAAGGAGATCTGGATTTAATTGAAGCCTTTTCCAGGACCACCCGGCTAGGAGAAGGGATGTCCTTACCAAACCAAAATAGAAGGGCTCAGATATTAGCTGCCCAGTAATAGACATAGTGCATGAAGTTAGGAAGCAACATGCCTTCAAGTCTGCGGGGCAGATACAAAACCCTCTTGGCAATCCGCAGATGCTTTTTATTCCAAATAAATGCTGATATCTGGCTGTTCAGGTTGATGAAGGATTTAATAAGAAAGATTAGCAGATTCTGAAACAAGTCTAAAAATTTAGGTGGTATATTCATTTTACAGAGTTTATTCTGCCTCCCAGAGTGTGAGGCAGAGACTGCCATCTAGCAATGTCCTGTTTAAGGTTTGCCACAAGAGGTAAATAACTGGTTTTATAGAGGATCCTATGGTCTCTAGTTACACAATGTATTTACATTTTTTTTAAACTAATTTTTAAAGGGGACTGTGTCCAAGACTTTCTTTTCTACAGAGGTCATAGGCATATGTTCGCTCCTTTGAAGGTTAACCCTATAACCAGATAATCTTCCAAATTTTTGAAGTAAGTTAAGCAGTTCAGGGACTCTGGTAAAGTGGTCTGATATGTATAAAAGCATGTCATCCGCAAATAAAGAGACTGTGTTCTGTACCTAGTTGATCTATTCCCTTAATAATGGAATTCTGCCTTAAAGCTATAGCTAATGGTTCTATGGCCAATGCAAAAAGAAGTGGTGAGAGTGGGCATCCCTGTCTCGTACCCTGCTGCAGTTTAAAATAAGAAGATATGGTACAATTGGTGTGGACCGCCGCCATTGGGGAGGAATATTGTATATCAGCTTCACCCATGATATAAATTTTAGACCAAATTTAAATAACTTTAAAGTCTTGAAGAGGTAATCCCACTCCACCCGGTCAAATGCTTTTTCCACATTTTTTTTTTTTCATTTAGCCTTTATTTATTCAGGTTAGTCTCAT